ACGATATGGAGGGAGCGCATCGGAGAAGCATGTGCACCACAGAAATCAGTTACTTGGATGCCAGGGAAGCAAAGTGTGGGAGTGTGATCAAGTTATTCCAACATCTAAGTGAAACTACCAGTCTTTAATTCTTATCACATTTACGTCTCTCAATAGTCGAAGCTCTCCATTTGGCTAAACCATAGCAATACAAATGCGTTAAGGGAAGTAAAGAATGATCAGCGCTGTCTGGGGCTCTTGGTAATCTTACTTGAAAAAGAAATCTTAGATAGAGCTAACCTTGAGTTTTTCTTTCATCTTTTCGTTGTGCAGATTGCGATGCCAATACGTTGAGAGGCAGATGAAGCAGCAGCCGCCGTGCTGGCTGCTCATCCGGTAGCGTTGTGGACGACGTTGCTTCGATTCTTCAGACAGGACAGGAGCTAATCCGAAGGCTCAGCTGCTAGTCGTGCCACAGCCGCTAGCGCTCCTCCCACCACCATTACCTGTTATATCCTATCTCGAGCAAAGCTTTAATCGAGTGGAACGAAAACCACTTCAGCTGAATTATTATTGAGCAGTCTTCTCGGAAGGCAGGAAAGCCAGTCATACAATTAGGTTATCTGAAATTACGGTCAAAAAACACCAGCATAAAAGTTAATCTTCGTATCCAAGGTGACATTATTTAGAGCGTTCCAGTCGTTGTAAGTGGCGCTGTTGTTCCACGGAGCCCAATAAATTGGTTTTCAAGGTAATCAAAGACACATGTGGAGCAACACTTAGAAACGCAGCATTCCATTCTTGGATACATTCCATTTTTACCCCTGAATCACCCTCCTGCGAATCATGCACATCTTATCTTCTACCAGGTTCCTAATGGTGACAGGATCGTCTTCTTCAGGAGCCTGGAACACGGTAGTTTTCGAAGTGAACATCGATTACACCAAAACTCATTACTTTCGCAAAAAAGCATGATCAAAATTCCTTCACAATTTGATTGCATATTGAATGCATGCACACCCTTCGAGGGCCAAGTAAGCTTATATTTTTACCTTTTTCGTACCGAAATTTCTGAAAGTGTCATCTGGAGCGTTATGGATGTATAAAATCGTCACTTTTTTGTTGCGCTTCAACGCATTTGCTAAGCAACTTATTAAGTATCAGATTATTGACGAGCCCCCTTCGTTAAGGGTACATAACGTGGATATAAATATACAGGGGGGGCCAAAAAAAAAAGACATTTTGCCTCCACTTCCAGATGGATTTAAGCACATTTTACTCAACTCAGACCGAACGGTTCCAACTTATTATTAAAGAGTGCATTCCATTCTATAAGAAAATCTTCATAGTGGCCACGTACGTGGACGGCATCAGAAGAATTAGCCCTGGAAACATGGTGCACTGGTCGATCTCAATGGGGTCTTCGAAAGGATCGTGTACCATAACGACCCTTACTGGAAAGCTAGTTCCGAGGGGATTTTGCACAGTGGTAGCTAATGCCTCTAGAAAACTATCCAACATTAAATCGATTCACGAAATTGCGTAAGAGCTTCAGGCTGAAGCTCTTACGGTAGACCTCCTTGAGCCTGACGACGGTGACAGATGACGTCATATTCTGAAGACGGTGAGGGCAGTGAAGGAGGGCCTGCGTACACTAATAGAGGGACACTTAGGGAATACTCTGCTGAGGAACTCCCGTCAACGACAGCAATCTCTGCGAAGAAAAAAGAGCCGAAGTCCGACATAGGCAAAATGTCTTTTTTTTTGCCCCCCCCCCCTGTATATGCATCATATATGCTATGAAATTGAATACACGGCGCATACAAAATTGATTGTCAACGTTGTAAACTTCCACTTCTCACGAGATAATTAGTATTAAATACAGAATAGTCCATGTTCGACCTACTCGCGATCTTGGCATAATTCGGGTACGGTACAGGAAGAAATCTTCAATCTCTCCGCTAAGACAGAAGGACGACCACCTTTGTAAGCGGAAGGTCGTGTCTTATGGTTAGCGGGCGAAAGGTTTTAATGCTCTGACAACGGGGCGAAGCCAAAAGTAATCTAATAGCAGTGTCCAAGGGCTTGAAAGGCGTGAAGTATCAATCCTACCGAGTATTGAGCTCACCTCGTCGACATATGAACGTATTGGAAAACCTGGATTGTAACGCTAGGGCGTGAAAAAGCAAAGCCGTTTCCGACGGTGTACGTTGAACTCCTCTAATTGACAAAGGTTCAAAAATTAGCAGGATTCTTAATCAAAACAATTTGTTTTCAGCCTCGGCCACGTTGGATGGGAAATCGCGGTTGATCGTCCAACACCCGATGGTCTTGCACTTGAGGTGAGTCCTTAATTATTCTCGCACATCGCATAACAGTGTAGAAGAAATCCCACAATGAGTTCAGGTAAATTACACTCTTTCGTGGGTAGGATAGGCTGTCCACTAAAGCCACAGATGACCAATTTTACCGGCTCAAGAAACACACCGACGACAGGGTCGTCCCGAAACCACTTACATCGCTCTCCTTTCTTTCGCAACACGCACGTGTCTGCGCCCTCTCATCCGTTGTGCTCCCTAACCTGTACTCTCTTCCCCTTGCTCAATATCTCACTGGATTAGCTCGGCTGGATTACAGAAATGAAAAAGCCCTCAATTTAGTATTTCCGGGAAATTCTCTTGCTTTTTTCTCCCCTACCGATCCTCATCAAACTTAAGCAACTCATTTTTGTGTCCTAGAACCACAAGCTTGATCATTAATTGTGCCCTCCAGTATAATAGCTGAACCTTATGATTCAGGTAGAACAATGTGCTTGCCCTCCCGGATATATTGGAACGTCATGCGAGGATTGTGCGCCCGGATACGAGAGATCTGGCCGTGGACCATACCTCGGCACGTGTGTACCTATTCAGGTAAGCTTTCTTCCACAAAGCTTCTCAATCCCTTCTCTACCTTTGTTTACAGCAGAGACAACCTCAATGCACCGGGCCCGGAGTCACTTCTCCATATCCTGGTCATGATGGAAGATGTACTTGCAAGACCTATGCCCAAGGTAGGCTTTTTCTTCTGGTTATTTGAATGGAGTTCTGGTATCGACCTTTCTGAAATGGGACCTTTAGGACCTAATTGCGATCAGTGCCCACCGAACACGTTCTACATGTCGGCCGGCAACCCACAAGGATGTATCCCATGCTTCTGCTCGGGTGTTACTCAGCAGTGCTCATCGTCCAGTTTCCGTCGTCAACTGGTTTGTGTTTGAAGAAACGTTTTTGAGCTTGAACTTTCAACATTCAACGCAAACGTTAGTGAAATTAATTGGGGCACCCATGAACGAGACTGGAAGGTACTTAGAGAATGGTGATTTCAGCAGTTAGACACTTCCACGTGCAGCAGGGATAGGAAAGTTCAAAAACAGGGGTATCCGACAGGAGGCCCGTCGCGCGGCAACAAGGCAGAGTCAGCGGACGAGTCGCAGCGCGTACTGTAGTGATTTCGCGTCAAGTTAAATAGAATGTACCATTGCACGTCTACACATCACACGCTGCGACTCGTCCGCCGACTCTGCCTTGCGACGGGCCTCCTGTCGGGTACCCCAAAAAATTTCAATAGCCTGGTCTGCTGAATGGATCCCAAGTTTTGTTCCAACATTAGCATATGCGGATTTCCACTTTTCTGGCTTCAGTTACCCACCAGTGAAATGGCATCAAGTACGACTCCTGGAGCTCCTCAAAGGGGCACGGCACTAGAACCTACCCAACCAGTGAATTGTAATACTTTCTCTTATACGTACATATGTAAGGTAGAACTTGCCATCGCTATACCCTCACCATTGTTGCTGAGGTGCATTGATAGCAGACACCGTCTCGTGAGCGCAACTGGTCCTAGTTCGAGGGATAGAATGCTACGGAAGTCGTCGCAAATGGGATAGCCTGTGGGAATTCCTAAGGGATTCCTTTTTTGAATTTTTGCTCACCTCTGCTCTTAGAATGCTCTTATAAGAGGATTCCACGATGAGGTCGGAGTAGAAGAAGGGGTACCTACCGAAAGGAAGGACAGGGTCTTTCAACACAGCAAATGGCTGTGCCTCGTCCAGCTATCACAGCTTTGCCTCGTGCTGCTCACGCCACCACACGCTCACCCTATTGTCGTCTGTGTTTGGCTGCTTCAGTAGAAGAGAGCAGTCGTTTGATGGCAGGGTCAACCCTACGTTGGTGCAAGTACCAACGGAGGGGGGTCGTACTTGGTTTAGCGTGGAGGGGGTCGTACCCACTTTAGTCGCTGGAAATCACGTGTGGGATTGAGGTGAAACTAAGATTTCGTGGGTAGTAGGCTGAGCGTGGCTAGGCTGCGGCGAGTGGAGGGGCGCAGGATAAAAATTTGCCGTTTCAGCGTGGCGTATATATCCTACGCTCGACGACGGCATTTTTGGAGGAAAAAGTGGGCGGTTTGGTGAGTTGAGTGGTATCAGAATTAAGTACTATAGAGACGATGATGGTGGTCGAGGTGTCGAAAAGGGGGTCGTATCAAATCCACCTTGGGGGAGGGGGTCGTAAAAAATTTTCAGAAAGTAACAACGATAGGACCGACCCTGGTTGATGATGGTATGAGACACCGTTTCAAGGGCGGGAAGGGGTTCATTTCTGCCGTTCCTGGTCCTCACCATGGCATCACGATCTCGATAACTTGATTATAATGGCTGCATTTACGCAATCAACCCTTTTTCAAGAGGATTTCTCAGCAGTCGTGACGGCATCAGACAAGTCGTTGTTTTACTTTCCCAATCCATAAAGCTATTCCAAGCAACTAATCTCAGCATTAGCACGAAATCTTGGCTTAATGCTCACAGCGCGCTAAAAATCTATCAAATTAAAATTGGGAAAGACTATAGTGAATCACCAAATGGTTATGCACAGCTGTAGTGCAAAATTTTCAAAAATTGAGTTCCATTTGTTTTTATTCTAAGAGAAAAAGGCGTATGTAAATATATTTCAAGTTGCCACTTGATTTTGTTCTTAGAAAAGAGGTATACGTTACTAAAATCTCTCTCTTCAAGGTAGAGATCAACTACCCACGAGGAGATCGCGATCAACTTGCGCTTACCACCTCCGATATTCGTCAGCCATATCATCCACCCACTCCGGCCTACGTCAGTGGCGAGCGATCGAGTTTGTTAATTTCAATGAGGTGCGTTTTTTCAACTACATAAAGGACCACTGAGGAGCAAAATACTATCGAATAACCATTAAGGATCGAGGGGGCGCGGTTGTTTTCTCGCTGTCGGATGGGTGTCGATAAACCGCAGTTGCATATCAAAAGATCCCATAAAGTATGTAGGCTAAAAAGTATCAAAACGGTTATACACTAATTTTTACACCAAATAGGCACTGAAAATTTTGTTTCTGCAACACCAGTTGGAAAGGGTCTTTTCATTCAATCATGAGGTTACATCGGCTCCTCCCTACTTATTCTTACTTCTGAGCGCAATGGACCTACGTGATTGCCAAATGTGCCTTTGAAATGGCTCCAAAAAACGAATCTGATGCGATCACATGAAGTCATCGCGGTTCGTTGTGAAGTTGTTTAATGCTTTTTTCACGAACATGGTTTGGTTTTCGTTGGTCGACGCGTTTCTCGTTGTAAACCAGATGCGATCCCTCTACAGTTCAACAAAAAGTTGCTATTCGCTTTTATTTAAGTTTTCAAAGGAACAATTCGCATCAGTTTTTGGTCTAATTTTTGGACTTAGCAGTGATGATTCTTCTAATCTCTAATTTCCGCTGTAATTCGCGGGATTCTCATTACCAGCTTTTGTGCGAATAAATTAGCCTTTTTGCTGACAGCTCGGTCCAAGTTAATTAAAATGGCACGTTTGAATTTCGAAGCTGACACTTCATTAGACGTAAAAACAGTCAAATTTTATCTGAACCAAGAAATCACCAGTGCTTTTCCAAAAGAGCTCAAATTCCTCTTAGGCTTCAGGATGGCCGTGATGACGTTTTTGAAATTTCAGGCAGTCGGCCAAGTCTTGTACTGGAAGTTACCGGCAAAGTTCCTGGGAAACAAGGTCACTGCTTATGGAGGAACACTGAAATATACGTTCCGCTTCTCTGGAGAAGGACGACCCAACCAGGATCCGGATGTTATCATAAGAGTGGGTGAATTTATCACTGCCGTTTGAGAAGTACTTTGCACCGTTTTTTATTGAGCTTTTTCAATCCAATCGATCACTATGACCATTTCAGGGCAACGACATTACACTACAGTACACGCATCGCGTTCCACTCTATCCCGACAGAGAAAACACTGTTGAACTGAAAATATTCGAAGACAAGTAATCGCTTAGCCATAAAGGCTTTTTATCCACACGAATTGACAGAAATCATTCGGTTCAGGTGGCAGCGTGTTGATGGACAACAAGGAACCCGTGAGCACCTTCTGATGGCTCTCGCCGACCTAGATGACATCTTAATCAAGGTAATGGTTCTAATATCGTGAAACGCTACTTCTTCAGTTCACAACTCTTGTATATAAGGAATGAGCTGCAATCAGTAAGGGTTACAATGCTTTCCAAGGGTACCTTCTAGGAAATCTTCGACCAAATCGTTGAGCTCGTAGGTATAGGTCAAAACTTTTCTTACTTTCCTACCCCAGCTACCCGCGAGGGTCAATCGTAAGCTGAGGAAACTGATACGAACAGGACACGTGAAGGGTTCCCAGGGGACTGAGCTCTTCTTGCTGTTGTCCTTGTTCCATGTGAATCTATGTGTTTTCCTGTAAATGAGATTCTAGATGAAAATAGAGTTAGTAGAAGACAAAGTGAGGGAGGTAGTGTGGAGATAATATTACTAGATGCGAGTGGTAATAGAGGGCTTCCGTGAAAAAATCTTCCTCCTCTTTTTGAATCTACTGCCGCCACTCTGCGATATCCAAGTCGAAACCTGCTTGGCAGTTCCTCTGTAAGAAGTCTTCAGTATATTCCTTTTCTAAATTTCCCGGTTTATCTCCACTGAAAGCGAAAAAGTTTCGTTTAAATCACTGACGACAACACGCCTTTATAACTGGTAGCGTAACTGGTAGCGCACTTGCCCGGAAAGCGAGAGGTGCGGGTTCTAGTCCCGCCTGGGGCGAAAGTTTTGTTCACAACCCAGCATTCTTGTGAAACACGCCTTTTTGTTTTTTAAGCTGCGTCTTACTAGCGCTATTTTCTGAACGCGACTGCCCTGATTCCATCGGATCGCGCTGTCCCACGAAAAGCGTTTTGAAGCTCAAACTTGGGTGCATTGCAGTTTTCCTCCTTGGGTCAGGTCACCTGAAACTGAGACACTATACATTTGCTCAAAGCAAGTCTAGGACAGAGTTCAAGCCTATTCATAGGCCTAAGTATACGCCAGTGCATAAACATAAGCCGAAGCCTAAGCCAAAACTCAAGCTTAAATTTGAGTTTTAATGATCGCGCAGTTCTGGTGACCCGACTCCAGGGGGAGAAGTGAACGTCTTCCGTGATGAAATAGGTGAGAATCACCATCATTTCCTGGACGTGACTTCTTTCTGAGTCGCAGCCTATTCTGGGTCATGCCGTCTCAGATGGGCGTCGCGCATCCGTGGCCAGCAAAGTGTGATTCGACGTTGGACCACGTTGACGTCACTGCTCGTACAGTTGAGACCGCCAATGTGAAATATGATTCAAATGGAAAATTTAGGCTACATACATGGAAGAATGCTCTCAATCGTCCCTTGTCAGTGTATCGCTCGAGTACGCCGAACCACACGGTACAGGGCTCACTGCCCTATGAGGTTGGTAGAACGTTTTGAGGTTTTTAGTCCTAAACCATGCGCTCTAGTAGTGACTAGAGAAAAGAACTCTGGATTTGCAGAGAGAAAATGGTTCTCATTCTAGGTAGAGCAATGCCAGTGTCCTCCTGGCTACATCGGCACGTCCTGCGAGGACTGCGCTCCAGGATACTCAAGAACCGGAGGTAGGTAACTTCAATATGAATTGAATACGACAAGGAACTTATCATTTGTCTCTTCAGGCGGTCTCTACCTTGGCCTTTGCGAACGCTGCGAGTGCCACGGTCACGCAAGTCAATGTGACAAGGTAAGTTCCACTGAGGACTTGTGCAGCCCTTAACCACTTCCAGTTTTCTGCTCCTCAATAGTGCTTTCGTAACTGAGATTGATAGGGTTTCAGGAGTACGGCTTCTGTGTGGACTGCCAGCACAACACTGAAGGTGACCAATGTGAGCGATGTAAGCCTGGTTTCATCGGAGACGCTCGCCGAGGTACACCCCATGACTGTCAGCCGGCCGTCACTCGTCCTCCATGTCACTGTAACAATCACTCTCCAAGAGGCTGCGATTCCTTCGGGAGATGTCTGGTGCGTTGTTTTGTTTCTTATCTGGAAAATGCCCTCTCAAATTACTCGACTAAATTTTTCCAGCTTTGCGAACACAACACCGAAGGAACGCACTGCGAACGATGGCAAGAAGGGCTTCTATGGAGACGCCACCAAAGGAACCGCCTACGACTGCACTCCTTGCCCTTGCCCGTTAGTATTCTTGACTGAATTGATCGGTCCCCAAAAAACTATCCGAATCATAGCTATGTTTCAGAGGAGCTGCTGATTGCTACCTGGATTCTCAGGGTCAAGTTGCCTGCAGGAACTGCCCAGCAGGTTTAGCCGGTCGGCTTTGTGATGAGTAAGTTGTTATAGATGCACTTCTATGCATGGTCAACCGCCGTGTTGCTCTCCGGACCAGCAGGAGCGCCCGAAATGGTCATCCGCGACTTTGGGAAACATTTCAAGAATTTTACGACCTCTCTCTCAGAAGTTCTCGATACGAATCCCCTCTCCACCATTGAGTATTGAGGATCCTTTCAATATGGCTGTCCCTACCACCTGCCCGCGCATCTCACCACCACTGTATTTGTTCAGGCCACTTGACACAGTCCAAACTCCGCCACTTCCCCCTCCAAACGCCGTCGGTCGGGGGGGTCGGGGGGATGATTTTTCTGATGAAGCGGCATATGCTCCACCTTCACCCATTTCAGTAATAGTCCTGAAGTTCCCACGAACAATGTCAAATTACAAATGCGGACGGCTAACCTTGGGTCCAATACGTCCTTTCAAAGATTCCAGAAGTTTCTGGCCAGCCCATTCTCTCATCATAATGCTCGATACTTATCTGAACTCTTCTATCCATTCATTTGGGAACTGTCGTGACGGGGTGGCGGTTGGGTTAGCTAAAACTGCTAAAAATGGGAGGTTAAGGAATTTATTAAGTAAAGGGTAATGGTCACGGCGGCTGAGGGGTGGAGAGATTAGATGACGTCGTTGGTCTTCTTTGGTGTCATTGGTGTCATTTGTGGAGTTAATCTCTCAGCGCGAGGGGTTGGCTGGATATTCTCTATTGATATACTCCTCCCAATGACATTCACTGAGGTCATTGAATCACCCCCCCCCCCCCCGACAAAGTGGATTGCTGCTTTTGAGATTGGAGTTAGGAGCTGAAGAAAGTGAGTTTCGTCCCCTGTAGAATACCAAAATAAAACCCTTCCAAAAATCACGGATACGGCATCCGTTGGGCTTTGACCAATGAGCAGGATATGTTTGTACGTTGTCATTGGAAGGCTGTGTTGTTGCAGGTGTGCCCCTGGCTACACGCGCTCGCAGAAGATTGCTGGACGTCCATGTGAACCGATTGGACACGTTGGAGACAGCGACAGGACCTATGTGCCACAACCGCCTCCCCACGAAGGTGAACCACCCCGTCGCAATCGGCATCGCAGACGTCGCATCCGCGTGCGATCGCGGTACTACCAGCACTGATCGCGCTTCCTACCGAAAGTCGGCACGTTTCGTTGACGGCAGCTCCGTGAACGGAATGTGCCGACTGTGTCGTGCTGCTTAGTGTGATGCTTATTGTAATCGCCAATTTATGTGCCTCACACCTAGTTGGTGTTTTCTCACTCATCATTTTGCTCTTTTTCAATGTGTCCAACAACAAAAACAACAGCAAAAAACATCGCGTCTTTGTCGTCGAGTGTGTAGCCCTTTTTTGTGGTCCGTTCGATGTTCACACTACCAGCACGTTCGTATTCTCGTAAGCATCTGCCTTCGTCAAACTGCCTTTTCGTATCCTTCATCATCGCATCATCACTCTAGGCGTTCGTTTTACTGTCACGTTACGATTTTGTTCAGTGTTTGTGCACCAAAGCATCATGACGTAATCCCCGTTGTTCGCACACACATATTTCTGTTCTGTTTTTAATAAACTATGTTCGCTTGGTCTTCACTGGTGTGTTTGTCAGTGGACCATTGAGCGCGTCAACGTCCTCACCCTTACCATCACCGTGGTCGTCGTCGTTTCCGTCGTGTGTGGTCGGTCGGTGCCGTCAGAGTGATGCAGTTGTGGTGCTACCAAATGTTCGCTCTAATCAACGCCTTCAGCGCTTCGAGTACGGATTCTGGAGCCAAAACACCAAGTGGTGGCCAACGGCACTAATGTTCAATGGATTTGCCAGATCACCGGACCCATGGTACGCTCTGACACAAAAGCTTTCCTCAGTTCATAACAACCCTATTTTCGCTAGCAATACAATCGCGAGCCTATCACTGAGTTCATGGCCATACTGCTAATTATGCTTAAAGCCGTGCTAATTATGAGGAGTTTCGCTTAATGAAATGCACATCACAATAAGTACTACGTAATATAATACTATTCACAGAACAGTACAGTGCCCTTCGAGATTGACCCCGTTTTTGGACCGTACTCCTTCCTAGATAAGTTGAACACGAATGTCCCCTCGGTGAATCCATCCCAGACAAAAGGATTTCCTTCATGGAAGCCCTTGATTTCCCACGGTTTTCGTTTCGGGCTGATCGTGAACTAGACTACTAATCAGGAATGGTTCTATAAATTTCTGGACTGCAAAAATAATACAATGCGGCCATGGTGGGAATACTCCTCTCACTCGTAGATGGCGACACAGCTGCAGAGACTCTCTTGACTGTTTCGTGCTTGCACAAAATTTTAAAGGCTAGAGAACAGTGTTCAAGTTGGTGGGAGCTTTCACTTTAATAAACAAGGAGAGAAAGGTAGATGCCGAATGAGGTCACAAAATAAACAAAATATCTTGCTAAAGGGCTAGTTTCAATAAAACCATGCATTACAACTATCCAGGTTACTATGATCTCAAGTAGAATCACCGTAAGAATTGATTCCATGAAATCAAATGAGCGTGTCACGCTTATGCTCGACTTTCTTATCCATCATATTGAGAGTGTTCCCTGCAGAACAACATTTGTATCAATTTTTTTTGTGAGTCGAACAGACAGACGGACCATCTGTTTTCTAAGTTACCACTATCGTATCGGGCCCAAACTTTGCGAATCCGTACCAGAGAGGAGGCTGGTCGCACGGCGAGAAGGCAGAGACGCCGATAAGTCAGTGGACGAGTCGCCACTTGTATTGTGCGATGTGGAACGTATTACCATACCTTCTATCCATTTAGACAGTATCCGTTACAGTAGGCGAGAAGGCAGAGACGCAGACGAGTCAGCGAATGAGCCGCAGCGCGTACTGCTAGCAGATTTGCTGTTTTGGTAAATAGATTGTACAACAATACGTTCCACATCGCACAATACACTCGGCAACTCGTCTGCCACTCCGTGCGTCTCTGCCTTCTTGCCGCGCGACGATTCCCTGTCGGGTACGTCTTTGGATATTGCGCGGGCGTACGCTGTAAATTCGAGTAGCAGGAGCGATGCGCAGCGAAAAGGACATAAGTCGCTGGTGCAGCGGTTCAAATCGCGCAGGCGTCGCTCTACCTCGAATTGGCCCGGCGAAAGCGCCACAATTCGCTTGCCAATCCACAATTTGCGAGTCTGACGCGAGGCGGAAGGCTGCTGTCCAACAAACTTGATTAAGAATGAGAGCAAAAGTGGGAAATGGTGTAGAGAAATCAAAACGCAAGTGGCGTACAAAAAAACGATAATGGAGGCGCCTTTTGACTTTGGAGGGTTTACTGCCTTGAATTCGGCCGAGAAAGATGACTTAGACTGCGAGATTCGCTGATATTTGTGACCCTTGCGCATGTGAGGCTGGGAATTTTTGCAGATGCCTCGGCTTGGTGCCCGCCCATAGCTGTAATGCTCGACTTTAGGGTGAGGGTACCCCGACAGAATATGCAAAATGACAAGATATGCAAATTTGGCTGTTTGATACCAAATGCGCTATCATAGGGAAGTTGGCCGATGATGATAGCGAGATCGCAAAATTCAGTAACTACGATTGGGGGAGGAGGCGATTCCGGAGGAGGCGCATCGGTTTTATGGTCGAACTGCGTTGCAGCTACTTATGGTTAGCACACTTTCTGCGCGAAAACGGTAGGTCTAAGGTCTCGCTTTCCTTGCTGCCTTGTTGCCGCTTTCTTTGGTAAATGCACTCCCCGTTGCAGACCCTTTTTCACCCTACTTAATAGTATTCGCTGCCTCAAACACACCTTGAGATCAGATTGACAGGAAATGATTGAACGGCGCAATCTGACCCTGGCCGCTTCGAGCCAGGATGTTATGCTCGAGAAAGATCAGTGCTCATTACGTAGATACCAAAACTGCTGACCCTGACCACGATGACTGATCCCTTGATATTGTTCAACTTTGTGTTGGTCCTACCACTCAAAACGTTTTTGAAGTGAAGAACGACGTGGTGAAAATGCCCTACCTCATTCCATAGACTTCTACACCTTTCAGGGACCACTTTACTCGGGGCTTAAAAGATAGTTAACTATTTTATTGGCGTCTTCACTGTTTTTTTTTCGGGACCAGTCGTTTAACAAGCCATAAGAAAACCCCTATAAGAAAGAGTGAAACCCATTCCGTTTTTTCTGTGTGCGCGAAAAACTTTCAATCCCAAGCTCTTTTCTCTACAGTATTGTGCTCATCTGGACCATTCTTTCATCGCTTCCTGGACTTAAATCGCAGCTTATGTAAGAAGATAAACACCTTCATGCCATTTCAATTGGTAGCCATCCCACGTAATCACTAATCTACCTTCAAAAGGCTTGAAACAGATCACGACACAGGCAAAAGTACTTAAAAATATGCGTTCCGTTATGAGTGCTCTCTAACAAGACCTGATCATACATGGGGCTCAGTGATAGGCTCAGCGACGACTTATAAGGACACCAATGCCATCAATTACCCCGTGGGGTTTTTGACAGCAAAGTTTCTTCCTTTTCTGTTTTTGTTCGTTTTTAAGTTCATTTCAGTTCATTTGCTTGCATAATTAAGTTGCTTTCTAACTTCGTCTTCATCCAGCGCAGCTATGTTCGCCTCGAATGGACCCGCGTCGGGTATCCTTCGCTGCCAGCCACGGCAAACGTCAGCGTTGACGAGGACGCGATTTTGAATCTGATGGCAGTCAGCGAGGAAGACGCCGGACAGTACCGTTGTACTGCCACCACCGTCAATTCGATCGCTACCGACGACGCGACGTTAACCATCAGCCATTCAGCTAGTCAGTATTTGCTCACTAACACTTTTAACTCATTCACGTGCTTTTGGGCGAACCCACACTCCTCGTACTAGTTCCACTCACACCTCCAAGCTTTTTGCACAAAGCGCGGTCATTTTTTCGAACTTATGGGTTATGCGGAAATCTTTCAATTCTGAACTAGTCTAATATTTCAAATTTTTGAGCATTCTTAAAGTCACATTCCGCAAAAGAAGAATATGAGTAGTAAGTATACCTAAAATAAGACGTACTAGGTGGCCATTACCGGGGGATAACCAAAGAAAAGTTTGATATTGCTTTGAATCAGCTCCTCTTTTTTGCTGGCCGTTCCACTAAAAATAAGTAAGACGATGGAAAGTAGTGCTTGGAGCAGGTATCAGACGAAAGAATGGATGAGAGAGGAGTGAGACAGAAAAAAATGATCAATAAGAGCATACACGCCAGTCGCGTTCATGCTAAGGTCGGATATTGCAACAAGGGGCGGGCATTGCGACGTAAGCT